GGAAGAGGGCAACGAACATAACAAAATCATTGCTCGATCTTCATCCTCAATACTCACATCAAGCCGTGGCAGGGCTGTGATTATTTGATTGAAGCCATTAATGCTGCGCCAGATCAGAACCTTCCTGCATCTTTAGCCCATACAACTTTTGCTTCAGATACAACTTGTTCGTCAGAGATTTTGCCATAAATTGAGTTTTCAATTTCTTCCGAACTTCTCATGGAGATTTCAGATTCATCACGTGATACATAACCTCATCTGCTAGCATAGTCGTATCGTCGCTGCCGCTCGCTGTTGTAATTCTTCACAATCTTCATCCTCCATGGCATCTGGTTTTGTTGCCCGCAAAACTTTCAAGATTCCCTATTGAGCGAACAAATCTTTTACCCTGGTTTGCCACAATCCGAAGTTACCAGTTCCGTCAAACTTCACAACATAGAATTTTGCACCAGAAAAACCATCTGAAAATTGATCCTGCAACAAAATTTTTCTTAAAAAAAAAATTCTGCAAAAATCCTTGCTCAGAACCCATCTTTTTTTTTTTTAAAAGAAAAATTGAAATCTTCGAGTAAAGAAAAAAATTTTCTCTCCTTATTCAGAAAAGGAAATCTTTAATTAAATTTGCTTAGTTTGAAAACTTTTCTTTAATTAAGCAAAATTCAAAAAACTTCCCTGCAATTTAAATTCCGGCTTCGTGCAGCAAAATGTAAATTCCTTGATTCCCTCCAACTTCCTTTCCAGCAAAGGAATATTCCTTGAATCCTTAGAAGCTTCTCTCCGCAGGCTTGTCAACAATTGAAGCAAGGCAACCAACAATGGAAAGCAAGGGAATATTTCCAATTTCTCAAGCAGCAACGGAAGAAGGAATTCCTTTCAGCCTAAGAAATTCAGAATTTCCTCTCTCCTGCTTCTTCTGTTGACGGAAAGTTCCTCAAGCAAGTAACAGATAGAAATCCAAGATTTCTTCCGGATTCTCTTCCTTCCTTAGCCTTCTCCTCGCCAATTGAGAAGGAACTCCAACAATTCGGGAAAGCAACCTTTCGTCCGCTTGGAAACTCCAGCAAAAGAATTTTCTGATTCCAGCAGAAGGAAAGGTTATTCCTCCGTCTTCCACGCACAGAAAATCGCTCGTCCACCTGCAGAACTGACCTTGAAGCCGATCCGCCCGCCTAACTCGCGAACTCTTCTGCTGCTGCTCTACCGAAGCCGAGTCGCAGACGCCGCCCCCGCTCGCAGTCCTGATCGCCAAACTTTAACCGGCCGCAAGACAGCTTGCCAAATTTTCTCTGCAGAGTGTCGTGATTCACGAACTCTTCCTCCAGAAAATTCACGAACTGTTCTGCGAAGCTCCCGCAAACCTCCTTACGAACGATTTGTCTGCTCCGCCAGTTCCGCGAATGAAGCCTGCACCGCCGCCGATCTTCTTCCTACGTAGATCCGCTGAAGTCCATCCGAAGACACAGCGACAAAACCCTCGCCGAAAATTTCTTCCCCTCCAACCTGTTTCTGATATCACTTGTTGAGAAAATTAGGGCGAAGAAAAACAGTGATCGACACAATTCCAGAAGAACACAGAGATTTAACAAGGTTCGACAAAGATGCCTACGTCCTCGGGAGCAGAGCGACGAGTTCCTTTCAATATTCAAAAAAGAGGTTACAGAATCCAGGGATACCTCCTGGGGTTACTAACATGCCTATTTATAACCCCAAGAGTAAACCTAAGCACAATACGTAATTACAACATTACCCCTGTACCATACCGCGGGGCTTTGCCCCCGCACCCCAACCCACGTAACTTCCCAATTTGGATAGATTCTTCCGCTCCGCTCCGCTCCGCTCCGCTTCGATCCAGCGTCTGTCCCGATATGGTATATGAGTCATACCATAACAGGTACCAATTATATGACTTTGCCCAATTTTAGTTTATTCCTCTTTCAGAAAATTTTTCGTTCATTAGTGTCATTATTCTCCAACTAAAATGTGTTGGTTTTTTTTTTTATTTTTAAGGAGAACTTAAAAAAAAAGGGATGATGCGAGCATTTGAGACTGGAACGTGGCATAGTGAACTCTAATACTTGGAACGGGAGGGGATGAACTCATTTTTGACATCCATGATATAGAGTGATGGAGAACCTGAGAGGTACTCAACTTGTAGTTGCCGGTTGTATCTTTTTTTGTATGAAAAGACGAATAAACAAAAGCTTATTTGTGCTGTTTGTGATTTTGACAAGCTTATTAGGAGCTCTTATTTCAGTTATAGGAGTAGGAGTTCTAGTATTTTTTGACTTGATTCATTCTAATGTTTGGGGACCTTATTCTACAAATTTTATAAACGGTTATCAATATTTTGTGATATTTTTTTATTGATTTTCTCGAGTTACTTGGCTATATTTGATGAAAAAGGGCGATGTGTTTGATTACTTTAAATTCTTTCACAAGGCAATCCAAACTCAATATAGTACAATGTTGAAGTATTGAAGTCTGGTAATGGGACAGAGTATACCAACAAAATTATTTGGGTAATATTTGTCAGCCTAAGAGATACAACTTCAAACCCAGTGCAATATGATAGAACCAAACATATAAAGATTGATAGATTCTTCATCAAGGAAAAGCCGAATAATGAGCTACTGGAGCTAAGTCATCTAGCTACTAGAGAGCAAGTGGTTGACTGCTTTATTAAAGGACTTAGTTCATTAGATTTGTCTAGGTTATGCGATAAGATGGGCTTAGTGGATATTTTTTGCCCATCTTGAGAGAGAGTGTTGAGAATTGAACCTTGTGTAGAGTCCTATCGGTAATCAAAGAATATTGAAGAAGTTAAGGGGTTGAAATGTTGTAATAGCCTATTTAAGCTCATGCTATAAATGTACATATGAGATTTTTGAAGACCTGCCTTAGGCCACCTAAGAATAGAGAGACAGAGGGACGCGAATAAGGTGGAGATCGTGGTGGTCGAGAAGGTGGAAAAGAGGTGGCTTGCAAATCTGATGGTAACGAGGGAAAGAAGGTGATTTTTGAGGTTTTTTTTTTTTTTTTTGATATAAACTTTTTATTTTTATTTTTATTTTTATTTTTTTTTTATATAATCTTTTTATGAGCTTTTTTTTCACATATTCAATTCCCCGTCTCTGCTGTCATAACCACAAATTTTCATGACCTTATAATACCACATTAATGCTGAGAGGTCTGCTTTCCTCTAATAATTCGCTCATAAATGAGGGGTGTACATGGTTAAATTGGAGTGGTAGCTGGAGCTCCATATGGCCCGGTGCAGGGATACAAGTGGGGCAGAAAATCGGTGGCATTAAATGAATTTGATAGTAACTGGAAAATGACGCTATGGTTTACATGCCCCTTTTTCAAGGAAATTTACATACATAGCTCACAATTCTTATGTGTTTACCCAAGTTTTCAATTTGTTTACAAATATATAATACTTTGGTGCTTTAAATTTATGCATGAAAAAAAAATATTTCACATTTAAAAAATGATGATAGTATTTTTTATTTTTATGTGATATGAAAATTGTTAAACTTATGTGTGTAAATATGAAAGTTTAAGTATGACATGTAAATACATGAGAATCGTGTGTATGTAAATGCTGCTTTTTTAATGTTAATTAAAATGGGAATGCAATAAGCAATAGAAGTTTGGCTCATTATTAGCTCGATATAATTATATATTATTAATTATTATTTTTTAGGTTTAATAATTTATTGATGTATAAATATAATGATGCTATCCTCTTTTGACTTATTATTTATTTATTTGTATTTGTTTGAAATTGACACATTCAACTAGTATTCTAACAAGTGAAAAGCGAACAATTATTAGCTTGCTCAATCTTGGCTTGTTTGCACCTTATTGCTTGATTATAATTTAGCCTTAGTTGACCTAGATTTGAGTTGAATTAAACTCATTAAATTCACTTCAAACTCAATTAGAGTTAAAAATGACAATTTGGTTTTCTCTGTCTTAATATCTTCTAAAAATTACTCTTAGATTTTTATTTTATCTTTTAAATGCAAGATCAAAATTATTCATCTCATTTACATCATTAAAATTATGAAGTGCATAAATTTTGAAGTTTTTGCTATTGTTTCTTCATCAATAAGATGCTTCCAATTTGTTTAAATGAATAATATGATTGCATAAGTAGCTTACAGTAACTTCTAACTATCACTAAATACTTATGTAATCTTTATTATAGAATTTTTGTGATAGCTTCCATATATTATAATAGTTATCCAATACGATACTACAATTTTTTAAGGAGATGTAATCCTTATTATGATGCCATCTTTTGTCACTCCTCTTTCAATAAATATTGCTAGAATCATCTTTGTATGTCCTCTGATAAAGTCATTTTCGAGCACTAAAACCCATCATAACTTATTACTTGGTACTAGTGATCATCATCGACATCAATCAATGCCAACATCCATCGTCATCTATCATTAGTCTATCAATGCCGCAACAATCTCTAAAAAAAATATTACGTGTGGAGAAGATAGGTTTGGACAAGTGCGGATTTAGTAGTATTGTCATGAAATACCACCACAATATCATCAAATATCACAAATCCACATGTGCAAATTTCACAATATTCGCTCTATTATCCGGCATCATCATAGGAGACAACTTGTCTGGTTCAGACTGCCGCCTCCAAAAATAGAAAAGTGTATCACTATAACCTTCAGTCAACATAATGAAACCATTTCAACAACTTTAGATTCCATAATTTATAAAAAAATATTGCATTTCTTATGCATTGTTGATTATTTATTTGTACGTGTGATTTAATTTCAAGCACATAACAAATACAATGCATAAATTTACTAACAGAATTATAGTATATGTATAATGAAATTTAAATTTATCTACAAGCAATCAACTGAGCCCCAAGATGCACGATAAAGTATTTATGTTACATGTACTTCTGAATATAAAACAATTTAAGAAAATAGAAAAAAACCAAATAGAAATAATGCCCAAAATAACAAACAAAGTTTCTGCATTAATGATCCACATACAATGACTCTATGAACAAAAACTAGAGGAAAGGTTGAACTCTTATTAAGCCAATCCATTAAATGAAGGCTATAGCACATGAAGCTTTATGGATATGAATCATGGAGAAACTGAGAAATGGTGGAATCCTGAATACAGTTCTTAATCAAAAAAAGCCTAAGCGTGTAGTTGATGGAGGATCAAATGTCTCCCAATTTGTTGTTACTATTACAGGCTTTAGTTTTCCATTTGATAACTTGAGCTCATCAAGAGTTTCAACAAACTTCTGTACCCTCTTAGCCTGCAGTAGAATACAAGGGTTCTTGAGCTACAATTTCTTCTATATATATACACTATGGCAAAGATAAGGGGAGAAGTATCTAAGGACTTGTTTGAAATCCATTTTATTATTATTTTTAAAATATGTTTGTTTGGCATGCTTAAAAAAAAATGTTTTGAAAATAATAAAAAAAATTAATGTTTTGAGAGTTTTTAAAAATAGTTAAATGTTAATCGAATGGTCAAATATGTTTTATTTCAAATCAAAATATAAACAATACAAAATAAAAACTGTGTAGTATGTATGTAAACTTTGAAATAAAATAAAATAAAACAGAAGTGATTCTTTTGTTAACTAACAAAGGACTGAAAGATGCGCAAGCAATAATGCTGGCAGCTTCTCAAACGAATAAGAACAAATAAAGTATAATAAATTCTACATAAAGAACCACATATCTACAAGAGAAACCAACTACTCAGGACCAATAAACCTAAAGTAGAATGGTAAGCCAAGGAAACTCAATGTTGAAGTCCTGTAATTAATGTTTGTGTGTGTGTGTGTATTCCTTTACATGTGCTCCAGAAAATCCAAAAGCAAAGGATTTATATGATCTGGTTGCACCAATGCTTAGAGCATGTGCTTTGAGATTCCCTGTACGTGAGATTGGGAAACAAAAGGGGCCATTCTAAGCTGCCAAAGCATTAAACAGGAAAAGATTGCAAATTATTGGCCTTGGTTTATTTTGTAAGCCTGCACAATTTACTGATCAGAGCTCATATTTTACAGTATAAAGCTCTGTTGCTACAGTGTTTGTTTAAATGTATTCAATATAGAATTTATTGGGTCTTAGTAAGTGTTACAGAAGCCAGAGAAGCATAAAAAAATAAGATAAATGAAGGTTTTGGAATTAAGGAAATACATTATACCTGTAAGTTTTTCTGAAAACGAACTTCACCTTCTGCAATGATGGCGTCTAGCGTTACTGCTTGTCTCATAAGCAGCTCTATTAGCATGGTGATCTGCAATTCAGGCACCTTCTTTCTACTTGAAATAGATTTCTCAATTGCTGAAACCTGATAAAGTACAAGAAGGTAAAGCAGCAGAAAGAGCTGTTAAGAACAATCTGCTAAACAAGGTTTGAATTTTATTAAAATTTAGCGGGCAAGAAAGCTACTTTGTCATTTCTACGCCCTAATTCAGAGCTTAGGAAAACAAAAAATGCTTAAACAGATCAAAAGAGCAGATTTTGAAGCATTTATATCAAATTACCAGTTCATAGTTTGAGACAACTGAACAAATATTAAAAAGGAGGCGTAATGTCACCTGGGCAGCAAGCTTATCAACCTCCAACGACAGGTTGGCGATGGCCAGAGAAGCACTCTGGATTTTAGCATTCCGGCGCATCTCGATATACCGCCGCTCACGGCTAAAAGGATCCTCCATCACCACCAACTTCGATCGATCTTTCACCCCACATATGTCCAAAAACTCCCCATTTTCCCTCTCTTTCCCCCTGTACCTTATCTTCTGCTCTGCTTGCCGCAAGCCTATCTCTGCCTCCAGTTGCTTCTTCAATTCCCCTGCACAACACCAAATCCCACAAAATAATCACAATCCGTGCACTCCTTTTCTTTCTCTTCACGAAATAATAAACTTTGAAGTTCAAAACAGCCGTCCAAGTTCAAAATCTCTCCATCTTCAAAAACGCTGGTCGGGCTCACCAACCTTTACCCCTGAGTACTTTTGAATTTTTTGAATTTTTGAATTTCTAACGCGCTCTTCCATTGACAGTAAGTTCAGCACAATATTTAAATGCATAATCTACGAATTGTTGCATTACCAACAAATTAAAAGCTTAATATTTGGAAGAAAAAGGACGAACTTTTCACCCCCGAAGGCAGGCAGAGAGCACTTACTGAAAGTAGCGCGGGAGCTAACGGTGACCTCCAACTTCGATTCTCCATAAGAGATCCCTCTCCTTGCTTGACGAGCCGCTTCTGAACCAGCATCCCTCCAGGCCTCATCTCCCACCCCATCCCCGCCGTTCGCTCCCCTCCGACGCTTCCAGATCCTCCGTCGAATCCCGATCCCCTCAACATCTCCTCGCCGGAACTTCGCCGGAAAACTGCCCCGTGTTCTCTTTGCGTTTAGCCACCGACAGTGCAGCCGAGTGAGCTCGAATTTATAGCGCAGTGCTTAAATGCGCGGGATCTGGAAGACCAGTGGACAGTCTGCTCTGACCCAATGGATTGGTGCCACATGTATTTCCCCCATGGTGGCCGGCTGACAGCGATTTCTGCCGACAGGATGAGGGTGGGTTAGGATGAACCGCAGGCTAAGATTTACGCTCGCTACGTGGCACCAACTAATTGGAGATCTGCATGATCGAACTCTGTAAAGTGGCACTATTGGATGCGTTGATTTGTGATCTAACGGTTGGCATGTGAAGTTCATTCACAGAAGTTGACCGTTAGTTTACGATGAGCTGGAGCTGTCTCTTCATGAGAGTTAACTAATAGAAAAAAATTAAAATAAAATAAACACATATGATGCGCTAAAAATAAATTTTTACCGCCCAACATAAATTAGGCAACATACGAATCTCAAAATAATTTTTTAAATAAAAAAAAAATCAAATTTCAATTAAGAGTCATCTACAATTCTGATTTTAGTAAAATTATAATCAAATTGATCGGTTTGATAAGACGGACTCAATAATATAAAATATAATCAAATTTGAGTCAAATCAAGCTCCAATCAAAACATTAAACTAGTCTTAGAAGATTTTCGATCATATTTGGAAGGTCAAAAGGATGTCGAATCCGATAAGTTCATAGTTGAATCAATTGTCTCAGCAATTGTCTTAGCAAGATGAATCCAACAAGCCCAAGATCACTTAATTTAGACATTATTAATACACTTAAATGTCCATCAAACGTCGTTTGATCGAATAAAGCTTTCTGGACTGTCCGATCAAAATGGTTCATATTCCTACATTAATTGCACCCATAACACTATAAATAAAGTCTCACCACTCTTATGAGTAAAAAGGAGCTTAAGACTTGAGAAAGAACATGATTTTTTGAGAAAAGTTGAAGTTCAGCACTACTCCTACCACCGTCAATCACTGTTGACAGTCGTTGACCGTCGTCAATCACGACCGACGTCAGTCAATTACCTTCGACTGCCGCTGATTATCGCTGATCGCTGTCGATCAACTCCAACCGCTGTCGACCACCCCCTGCTGGTCTCCACCGATCACCATTAGTCGGTGCCTACTTCATAAAACAACTTCATTTGTGCATCAAAGTTGTAACTCTAAAGAGCGTTCTACCCTTTCCCGCCGGTAGGACAAGTGACTGTACATATAATATCCAATTTATAATAGATTTCTTCAGTTGGGCTAAACCTCGTGATTTTGCATTTTTTTGGGTTTTCCATGCAAAAACTTTTGATGTCTTTACTCGTTATTTTCTTTTATGTAAGTGTGTGCTGAAATCTCGTTCAACGCTAAGACGATAATCAATTACGCTACCACCATAAATTTTCTAGTGCATCATCATATATATTATAAATTTTTATTAGGATATGAGAGGATAATTTGATACTTGAAAAATTCGCTTTTAGATTAACTAATTAAATTTGAAGTTGGTTTCAAATCTAGAATCAGGACCTATTTAATTTTCGATACCAAAAAAGTTAAGTTTGACCAAATTTGAATTTAAAAGTGGCTTTTAATTTTAAATTGAACCACAAAAAACGATCAAGATTAAAAGAAATGACAGTTCCCATACAAGTAAAATGCCAAAAAAGTTCTCGAGTATTTATATGGGGCCATTTTAGCTCGAGAGTTTATAGATGTGTCAAAATAATTCATGACTATTTTAAAGTTAAGCTATAATTATCCTCGATGAAGACTCTTTAGTTCAAATTTAAAGAATCTAGGGATTACTTCGAATCTAGAATCCAGACCAATTTGATTTTCGATACCAAAAAATTTCAGTCCGACCAAATTTGAATTTAAAAGTGGCTTTTGATTTTAAAATTAACCATAAAAAATGAATGAGATCAAAAGAAATGTCAGTTCTCACACAGGTAAAGTGTCAAAAAAGTTCTCGAGTATTTATATGGGGTCATTCTAGTTTGAGAGTTTATAGATGTGTCAAAATAATTCATGATTATTTTAAAATTAAGCTATAATGGTCCTTGACGAAGACTCTTTCCGCTCAAATTTAAAGAATATAGAGATTACTTTGGCACTTTACTCTTTTCTGTACCCATATGAACGTAATTATGTTAAGATAATCATTCAAGTTAGGTTAATATCAATTTAGTTGAAGACAAATCATATTCAAGTCAAACATTCTTACTCATTTAATAGAAAGTTAAATTTGAGCCCTAAATGTTCAAATTTAATTGATGTGTGCCGAAAGGTTCATGATGGTAGCGTGATTTTTGGTATCTTAGTATTGTATAAGACTCCAATACACACTTAGGTAATAAAAGAAGTAAGCAAGTGAAGATACCTCTACTTTTTATGTGAAAAATATTGGAAAGTAAAAAAAACCATGGGATCTAGCATAGTTGAAGTACTCCAATATGAATAATTTATACACAGATCCACTCTACTCCTGAATCACTGAAGATGGAGTTACAACAATGATCATTGTAAATGTATAATAATTGTTCATCGATAATATCCATAGGCGACAATGGCTATTGGAGCAGTGTCAACCAAAGTTGGCCAGAGGCGGCAGTTGTCGAAGGCGAAGGTGGCTTGAGTTGGTTGGAGGCAGTGGTGACCATAATTGGCTGGGGTTGTCGAAGGTGGGGGCGGCCAGAGTTGGATGGCGGCGGTGGAGACGGTTATCGAAGGCGGAAACAACAACCAAAGTTGACGACGGTCGAAGTTGGTTGGAGGCGATATCAACTAGAGTTGGTTGGATGCTTTGGCTAAAGTTGGCGGTGGCGGTTGTCGGAGTTGGTCGGCAGTGTCGGCCATATTTGACAGTGCTAACAACTAGAGTGAGAGGTACTCGCCGAATCTGCAGTGTATAAGCGATGCAAAATTTTAGCTCTTCCTCCAAGTTTCGGCCTTCTCCTGACTCAAGGTCTAGGTTCTTTTTTAAAGAGGGGTGTAGGGCTTTGTTTTTAGACTCCAAATTGCGAATAAGGAAGGAATTCAGATCACTCCATCGGGCAGCCCAGAGAGGTTTCCTCAATTAGATGACATTCACTGGGCCTTTAAGTGCCTTAATGAAGTAGAAATGGAGTGAGCTTAGCCTCGTTAGATTCAACTTGTTGAAACACTCAATTCAACTATAAATTTGCCAAATTCAGAATCTGTTTAACCTTAAAATTATGCTCACAAAATTTCCAATAATAGTTAAATGACTTGATCTGAGTCTGATTTGAGTCATATTGGATAATCTTTAGTGTCGTTGGATTGTCTCATTGGGTCGATCGGTTTGACTATAAGTTTATTAAAATTGAAATTCTGAATTATTTTTAATTGCAGCTTGAAATTTTTTTGATAAAGCTTTATCCCGAGATGCATGTCCTTGCACAAGATTTTTATCGGATGATGAAAATTTATTGATAACGTATCATTAATTAAATTCAGGTCTAACCTGAACCAATCTTTTAACCAAAATTGAGACATAATTTTATCTCGAGATGCATGTCCTTGCACAAGATTTTTGTCGGATGATGAGAATTTATTGATGACGTATCATTAATTAAATTTAGGTATAACCCGAACCAATCTTTTAACCAAAATTGAGACATAATTTTATATATTTAGATATCTGATATTTAATTTTTTTATATTTATTCATATGGTACTAAAAAAAATTGAACCTCGTAAAAAAATATGATTAATTTGGCTTTTTAAATAAGAAATACACATTTTTTATACATATATTTTTATGTGATTGAGGCACATTAACGGCACAAAAGTAAATATAAAAGATTTAGATGTTAAAAATGCATATAAATATGAATTATGTGATAAGCACGTAATTCTTTGTTTTTTAAAATTTATATTTAAAATATTAAAATTCAAACATTTAATTATTATTTTGCCGGAGGTTTGATAGCAACCAAGCACTGACCACATCGGACTGACCAAATTATTCGAGCCGGCAAGACATCCTGGTCGGCCACCTGCAATCGACCATATTGGGCCAGCCATTCTACCTCATGTGGCTGGCCGGCCACCACCTGCTACAGCCAGTCATGCACTCGGGCCAGCCGTCACGTGCTTAGTTTGATATAAACTCGAATCACTTCAATATATCATACATTCAATAGTATACAACTATACATCTCTCTCTCTCAGTCTCTCTACATGCATACCACACAATTCTAACGCATTTACATGTCTACCTAAGTTTAAATTTTCTTGATCTACCATGCTAAACAAATCTTACGTATTTAAATGTGTAATACCTAAGTTTTAATATTTATTTTTAATCCACATACAGTCTACACTTTTTTTTTTTAAATATACATGTGTGCTAAACAATTATTATCTATTTACATTTCTAAAACCTATCTTTTTTTTTTCTTCAAAATATACTGTTGAAAGATCTCAAAAATACTAATTATTATATTTCATATTTGTTATTACTCTATATTTAGAGGATTATAAATTATATGAGGGATCTTGAGAATCTCTATTTATTTCTCTCCATAAATTAGAGAGATTAACTGTCTACTATATTTTGTTATTATTCATTTCTTTTTCTAATATATTCTGTTTTTATTGTTTTCCTTACCAGTAAGTCTTGTAATGAGTATTTATATACTCTTTTCATCAATAAAATTAAGTCATATCATATCTTTTCATGGTATCAGAGTCATATCAATCTTCTTCGGTATGACAACTTCTTCTCCATCCTCCCAAGAAATCCTCCCAAGAAATATCCCAAGAAATATCCTCCGCCTCATCTGCCCCTGTTCCAACCGGAATCGATGACACTTCCTCCCTCATCACTGGCCACAAACTCAACGGCCAGAACTACCTCCAGTGGTCCCAATCTGTTATGATGTTTTTCTGTGGCAGAGGCAAGGATGACTATAGCACCGGTGATGCTGACCAAGGATGACCCAAAATTCCGGACATGGAATGCAGAAAACCACATGTTCATGTCGTGGTTAATCAATTCTATGACCAATGACATTGGCGAAAATTTTCTTCTCTACGACTCTTCTCTCGAAAATTTTCTTCTCTACGACACGACCAAAAGTATTTGGGATGCTGCTCGAGAGACATACTCTCACTCAGATAACACATCCAAGCTCTTCGAGATCGAGTCAATCCTCCACAACATATGCCAAGGTGATCAATATGTGACTCAGTATTTTAATGCCCTCTCAGGTTACTGACAGTAGGTTGACATGTATGAAGCTCCGGACTCCAACTTATACTGTCAGATCATCGAGCAAAAAAGTATATTCAAATTTATTCTCGGCCTCAACAACTCTCTCAATCATATCCGGTCTTGTGTATTAAGCTTCAAACCACTAACGAGCATTCGTGAGGCCCTCTCCGAGGTTCGCCGCAAAGAAAGTCGCCAGAAATTCATGCTTGGGCCTATCTCTACCTCGACCAATCTCTCCGTTGATGCCTTCACCCTTGCAGCTCAGTTCCTCCACCTCGACATAGCGACAATCCATCACGCAAAGGCCATCCCTGGTGCGACCATTGTCGCAAACCAGGTCATAATAAAGAGACATGTTGGGTGCTTCATGGAAAACCAACCGATTGGAAGCCTCGGTCTGATCGCGCTCCCCGTGCCAACAGTGCCGTCGCTGCCTATGACCTTCCCGCACCAGCGCCCAGTCCATTTAGCAAAGAGCAACTAGATTTGCTGCACAAACTCATCGGCAAACCACCGGATATGGCTCTTCCATCACCGGCCTGCTCGCGCATCAAGGTATGTTCTACCTTGCCTTCACATTCACTCAAGGATCCTTCGTTCAGTGGATCATCGATTCCGACAATTCTCATCACATGATTGGCGATGCCTCCCTTGTCTATGACTATATGTCGTGCGGAGAGAACTCCACCATCTGTCTCGGCCATCCAAATTTTATGTATCTTGCAAAACTATTTCCAAATTTATTTTAAATTTATTTATCAATAAAGATGTTCGTTCTTTTCAATATGATTTTTTTTAACTTGCCAAACACACTCGCACGTCATTTCCACGTGTTGGTTACACCTCTTCCCGTCCTTTTGCTCTCATTCACAGCGATATCTTGGGCCCATCCTGTGTTACAACTCTTACCGAGACTCGTTGGTTTGTCTCCTTTATTGATGATCACACTCGACTAACGTGGTTATTTCTTATGAAAGATTTCACTCGACTAACGTGGTTATTTCTTATGAAAGATAAATCTGCAGTCGGTCACATATTTGAACAATTTTACTCAATGATCCAAACACAATTCCAAACCTCCATTCAGGTACTCAAGACTGATAATGCAAAGGACTACTTCGCTTCTGTCATCGCCTCCTATCTCTCCTCTAAAGGCATTCTCCATCTCAGTTCTTGTGTTGACACTCCTCAATAAAATGGGATCGCCGAAAGCAAGAATCGCCATCTTCTCGAGGTGGCCAACTACCTCATGTTTTCCTCTAACGTGCCTAAGGTTTTTTGGGGTGACACTGTATCCACTGCAGCCTACCTCGCCTTCTCGGGTCCTCAAATTTCAAAGTCCAATCCAACTCCTTCTCAAATCATTTCCCCACACCAAGGCAATTACCCAAAATCTACCTACCAAACTATTTGGTTGCTCATCCTTTATTCACATTCATTCACATAATCACAACAAACTTGACCCCAAATCTATAAAATGTATTTTTCTCTGCTACTCGTCTCTTCAAAAAGGGTATAAGTGCTACTCTCCTCTCACTCCTCTCACAAGAAAAACCTGAAAACCTGCAACACTATGGATGTCACATTCTTTGAAAATCAGCCTTACTACCCCAATTCTAATATTCAGGCGGAGACTTTAAGGGAATATCAGTCTTAGGGGGGACAATGAGTTCATACCACCACACATCAAATCCTCGTCCCTTGAACTGAACTCACGGATCCAACAAGTTCATCCAACTCATCCTAACGGTTAGTCTTCGTCTAGTCCTCAAGTGTCCAACTCGCACATATATCACCCAACACATCCAACACCAATCCAAGAGTCAGAACCGGATCCAACTCTTACGGAAATCCATTGAGATACGAACACACTTGAGCATGAATCTACCATACTTATGATTGATGACTCCAAAATTTCAATTGCTTTAAGGAAAGGCGTTAGGTCCATCCGTCCTCCACTCAAGTACGAACACACGATGCATCCGATCTCCAACTTTGTGTCCTATGAAAGACTATCTTCAGCTTACCGAGCCTATGTCACTGCATTCGACAATACATAAGTCCCAAACACGAATGATGAAGCTCTCAAACACCCAGGGTGGAAAGCGACCATCAATGAGGAGGTGAGAGCCCTACAAAAGAATGGTACAAGGATAGTTTCAGACCTGCCAAAGGGAAAGAAAGCAATCGACTGCAAATGAATCTTCAAAGTCAAATACAAAACAGATGGTACAATTGAGAGATTAAAAGCACTTCTTGTAGCAAAAAGTTTTTCACAGTCATACGGTATTGATTACCAAGAACATTTTCCCCCATGACCAAACTTAACACCATCAGAATCCTTCTCTCACTTGCAGCAAATGAAGGCTGACAACCACATCAACTCGACGCGAAAAATGCTTTCCTAAATGGCGATTTGGAAGAAGAAGTTTATATGGAAGCACCTCCCGGACTAGAAGCATCCTTTCCAAACAACAAAGTCTGCAAACTCCAAAAATCATTGTACGACCTCAAACAATCTCCCCGAGCATGGTTCGATAGATTTGTAAAATCAATGACAAAACACGGGTATACTCAGTGTCAGGCAGATCACACTCTCTTCGTAAAAATCTCTCCCGAAAAGAAGATTGCAATTCTAATCGTATACGTCGACGATATCATCCTCACTGGAAATCACGAAAAAGAACTCATAAATCTGACAAAGCTTCTCACTCGGGAATTCGAAATCAAAGACCTCGGAAACCCAAAGTTCTTTCTTGGCATGAAACTAGCTCAATCAAAACGAGGAATATTTGTGTCCCAACAGAAATATACATTGGACCTGTTGAAGGAAACATGTATGCCCGGTTGCAAACCTGTCGATACTCCAATGGATCCCTACAAGAAGATCACCACTAAGAAAAATAACGCACCTATGGATAGGGGGAGATATCAGCGACTCGTGGGGCAACTCATCTATCTCTCACACACACAACCCGACATTGGTTTTTCTGTTAGTGTTGTTAGCCAGTTCATGAACAACCCTACGAAAGAGCACATGAATGCAGTCTACATAATTTTGAGATACCTCAAGATGACTCCAGGCAAAGGGCTACTATTTCAAATGAATAAAGATCGAAGTATAGAAGTGTATTCAGACGCAGACTGAGCAGAGGATGTCTCGGACCGACGATCGACTTTTGGCTATTGCACTTATGTCAGGGGAAACCTAGTCACTTGGAGAAGCAAAAAACAATCTGTGGTATCAAGAAGTAGCACTGAAGTTGAATTCAGAGCTCTTGCACTTGAGATCTGCGAAGGGATGTGGATTCGAAAAATACTCAGCGAACTTGGAATGCTAACTGAAAAAACTGTCAAACTACAATGCGATAACTAGACAACCATCAACATTGCAAAGAATCCAATACACCATGACAGAACGAATCGCATCAAGATCGATCGACACTTCATCTCAGAAAATATCGAGAGATGAGTCGTCAAACTTATATACATTTTTTTCGGACATCAAACAACATATATCCTCACTAAGCCTCTCTCAAGAATCAACTTTGAAGAATTATGTAACAAGTTAGGAATGTACAATCTGTATAATCCAACTTGAGGGGGAGTGTTGAAAGATCTCAAAAATACTAATTATTATATTTCATATTTTTTATAACTCTATATTTAGAAGGTTATAAATTATATGAGGGATCTTGAGAATATCTATTTATTTCTCTCCTTTAAATAGAGAGATTAGAAGGGATTTAAAACCCAAAATTTCGCGAATGAGCATCAAAAGCTTTAAAAAAAATTATCAAAAGCTTAGAGAAGAGATTCATCTGGACAAATATGAGATTTTGTCCGTGGTAATGTTCTTGAAGTCGCTCGAAGTGGCCGGAATCACCGGATTTCATCGGATTCGCCAAGGTGTCGTCGGTTTCGCCGGTTCCACCGCTCACACTTCACAAAGAGGAAATTCGGAGGAAATGAAGTTTCGGTCAGGAGGGGGCTATTTTAAAACTTTTGCGTCCGAGTTAGCGTCAGAATTGTCCGATGCTATTAAGTAAACTTAGCGTCAAAATTGATCCGACGCTAATTCGACGCAATAACGCAAATGAGCATCAAAGGCTTGACACAACTTTTCTTCGTCAATACTTTCAATCTTGGACGCAAATCAGACTCTAATTTTACATCAGAGTTGAGGCTAATCCAGAGTTTTCCTCTAGTGAAGATAGCAGTAATATAAGAGACGAATGTTGGAAGATGATAACAAGGCAATGTTAATTGAGAGACAGTGATTGAAGAACGATAATCAAATGGCCATGATTATGTGATCACTTGGATCAGCCCGGTGTTGGTAACCCAGCGTGACCGTTAGCATTAGCTGCGGGCAGAGCTCTAGATCAGTTCTTTATGTTTTGTTGTCCAAAATCTTTAATTGTAATTTTGTTTCACTTTTAATTTAAAATTTTAAATTTATTTATCAATTCAAAGAGTCTAGCTTTCTTTATTCTCGGAAAAAGCCTAAAAAATACATTGAATATTCAAGTTTTTTTTTGCCATGAGCTCAAAATTAAGTGGTCATGGGCTTGCTTGACTCATCTCATTGAGATTAAGTTATTAAAAAAAAATTAAAACTAAATAAATATATTTTAAAAATAAAAAAGATCCTAGATAGACGCAAAATGTACATGTTGAAGAGGTTGATTATCAGTTTTTTTTAATTGTTTTTTTTGGAGATTAAGTTATTAATTTTGTGAAAACTTCATTTAAGATTAGTGTTATTACAAAAATGGTGAATCAATGATGTTATGTAT